CCGTTGCTTCGTCCGGCCCGAGAAGGTCCAGGGGCGTCCCGCAGGGGCGCCGTTCCCAGCCCTGTCCTCGAGGATGCGAGAGCCCCTGCCCTTACCAACACGATGAAGGCGTGGCCTCACTGAGGTCCCCGTCTTTGCACCGGGGATAAGCATTCTGGACGGTTGGGTTCGATGCGTCTGCAGAAAAAAAGGCCCCCTGCAGTCAAAGCTCGCAGTAAGGACGCGCGGATGTCCTAGGATACCCTTGCGTCCTTGCCTCTGCGGCCCGTCCGTCGCGGCTTACAATGGCCAGCCTGTCGGGGTGGTTGCGGTCCGCCGCCCAAGAGGTGCCAACTTCGGCGTCCAAGGCCCTTGCGTCCCTAGCGCCCGTCCTTATTATAGATAATGACTGTGTCCATCGTGTTTTTGGCCCTCCCAACTCGGGTCCCCTCCCAAAGGGTTTGGGGTCCTGTTAGTGCTAATCCGCCTGGGCCGGGGCGCTGTCCTTCGCCAGGGGGCGGCGCGACGACCAGCGCGGTCCGCAGAGCGTGGGTCGTGGACTTGGGACACCTGGCCATCTCCTCACCCTCCTATTCCCCCTCCTCCCTCCTCCTCCTCCTCCTCCTTCCTCCTCCTCCTCCTTCTCCTCCTTCTCCTCCTTCTCCTCCTCCTCCCCCTCCTCCTCCTCCTTTTTCTCCTCCTCCTCCTCCTCCTCCTCCTTTTCCTCCTCCCTTTCCTCTCCCCCCCCCCTCCCACTTCTCCTTGACTGCCACGGCCGCGGAGTGTGGCGCGCAGGACGGCATGTTGTTGGTGGCAATTCTCTGACAGCTCTTCTGGCGGCCGTTTTCAAGCGCTACGCGTTACACGCCTCGGTAGTTTGGCTTGTCGCTGTGCGCTGCGGGTCCTGGCCTCCTAGCCTCCTCGCCCTCACGCAACGTGGCTCTCTATTACGAGGGCCCCTCTGGTGTGTCCTTAGCTGCTGCTTGCAAGGCGGAGCTCAGCCACGCCCAGGAGCACGAGGGGAGGCGGGAGGCGCGGCGCCACTGCACGGCTGCCGGGGCGAAGGCGGACAGCGAGTCGTTCTGCTGGAACCCGGACGCGCCTGCGGTCGCACCCTCGGCTGGAGCTTGGGATGTGTGGCAAGGGCTTCGCTGTGTTGGTGTGGCTCCGCTGGCTTTTCCTCGTGCGACCTCTCGCGGGGGCGGTGCAGCAGCTTGAGCGCATGTTTGGAACCCGGGAGGCGCCCGAGATCTCACCCTCGGCTGGAGCTTGGGATGTGTGGCAAGGGCTTCGCTGTGTTGGTGTGGCTCCGCTGGCTTTTTCCCGCGTGCGACCTCTCGCGGGGGCGGTGCAGCAGCTTGAGCGCATGTTCGGAGCCCGGGAGGCGCCCGAGATCTCACCCTCGGCTGGAGCTTGGGATGTGTGGCAAGGGCTTCGCTGTTTTGTCGGGGGTGGATAGACCTCCTACCCTGACACGTCGATTAGTGAATTGGCCGTTTTCGGTTCGCGAGAGGGCGTCGCGGCCGTTATTTTGCGGGTCCAGGTCCGTCGGTTTCGGTCCCAGGCCGTTTTCACTAAAGGGAGGTTTACTAAGGGGAGGTTTTTGTCCACCGCCGATTTTGGTGTGGCTCCGCTGGCTTTTTCCCGCGTGCGACCTCTCGCGGGGGGCGGTGCAGCAGCCGGAGCGCGCACTGCTGAGCGGGCGGCGGCCGCCGAGGCCGACGAGAGGCCCCCCCGAGGGGCTCCCGCGGCCCCGCCGCGGGTGCGCGCAGGGCGGCGGCCGCCCAGGGGGCCCCTCTCCGGGGGGGGGGGGGCGTCTGCCCCTCCGAGGGCGCCGCGGGCGCTGCCGACGTGAAGGCCCCTGCAGGGGATGGCTGCCCCGCCGAGGGCGCCGTGGGAGCTGCCGCTGCGGAGGCGGAGGGTGCCGACGCGGAGGCCCCTTGCGGGGGACGGCTGCCCTGCCGCTGGCGGTGGCCGCGCCGCTGCCGCTGCCGTTGCCGCAGCCCGCGGTCGTGGCAGAGCGCTTCCTGCTGGTCGATTCGGCGCCGTTGTCGGCCTCGAGCGTGCAGCAGAGGTGGCCGCCGAGGGCAGAGGGCGCATGTCGGCCTCCCGAGCGGGGGGGGCACACGCCACGGCAGCCAGATCTCAACGTGGGCGAGCTGTTCCGTGGCTTCGCGACGGTCACGGCGGAGATAGCAAGCTCCGCCCCGCCCGCACCTTCCGCGGCTTCTGGTGTTGGTGGCCGAGCGCAAGCAGATGTGAAGCTCGGCGTCTCGGACGTCTTCGTGATGTAGCACGAGGGTGGTGCTGCTTGGAACCCCTCTTCATCGTCTTCCTGCCCTCCTTCGCAATCAGCTACGTGTTCGTCTTGGTCGGCTGCGAGGCCAGGGGGGGCGAGGCGCGCTTTTGATCACATCGTGATTGGGTGTCATCTCATCTCATCACCTCCGTCTCTACCCCCGGTCTCTCCCCGAGCGCGCTCTGGCCAGGGCTTCGAGGCGGATCCAACCGTGGCGCGGCA